TTTCGGGGGCTCTTTTTGGCATTTCGGGGGCGAAATCGCCCGCCGCCCCCGTGTATTTTTTCCCCTGTATTGTACATATAAACTTGAATCACACAGACGCAGTTACAACAGCGTGTACTGTCTAGAGTCCCGCCATATAAGTCTCTATCCTCGACTAGTGGCGCCACCTCTTGGGCGTACAAAGAATAAACATTACTCTAACGTTTTGCAATTATCTTACATCTCCCTCCCTTACAAGATCGTACTAGAATGCATAACTATAAACGAGCAACATTGAACAGTATGTTACTAAACGAACATACGTATACTCTATTGAATTACGACCGTTATGGGAGGTCTTACAGTTACACATAGTCACTAAATCGTACAGGTGGTTTCCTGTTACGTCCAGACCTTCGAACTGGTCCAGGACAGTCTTCAGACGTGACATTCATTATAGTGTCACTGTTGTCATTCATGACAATAGGATCGTCATCTGCACAGTCAGTCAGGGTTTCAAGTGTTGATGGTACTTCAACGGGCAACTGGATGGGTGGCAGTGCAGTTATTGCCTTCTCGTAAATCTCCAGCTCTGTAGCTTCCTGAGTATTCGTCTCTGGAATGATTGGTGACCATTTCGACGTTCCTGCAGTTGGTACCGTGGTTGGTGGGAATCTACGTCTCAGCATAATTCGATTTCTCACAGTCAGTAGGCCTGATGGAAGACGGATAACATACTTTTGATTCTTGAGGTTACGCTCTTGCACCAAACCGTATTTATCCAATCTTCTGTTACACCTGTTCTGCACTAAGACAGGATCACCTACACTGAGGACAGGTAGGGATTTACCAGGGCGGTATTTCTCAGCTTTCTGGCATTCACTGGATATCAACTTCGGCTAGTTGTTTATGCCAGTCTTTGCTCAGGGCATTCTTGTGTGCTGGAATTACTTCATTCACCAGGTGTCCATATAGGTGGACTGCAGGGACTATCCCTGTACCCTTGTGGGGTGTATTCCTAATGGATAGCAGACCACGAGTCCACTTTTCAAAATCCACCTTACCATTCGTCACACCACTGCGTAGTAGGTGCTTTGCCTGTTTTACCGCATTTTCTGCGAACGCATTACTCTGCGGGTAATACGGTGATGAGGATATCCATCTCACTCCCCACCTCATACAGAAGCCCTGGAACACACTTGAGGGGAATGGTGGTCCATTACCAGTGTATAGCACTTCAGGCACTGCTGTGTCAGCGAATATCAGTCTTAGCTCGTGGATCGTGGAATTAGCATCTGTTGAGCGCATCTCACGAACTATGAACCAGCCAGATAGCCAGTCGGTGACTATTAGAAATGTGCGACCATCACAATCAGCAAAGTCAGCGCTTATGAATTGGAACGCTCGCTTTGGGATTGGTAGGTGCATCATCGGTTCCTTTGGCTGGCTAGGTAGGTCCTTCTCACACTGGTTACAAGACTGACAGAACTGTTCTATCATTGCATCAATGTGGGGCCAATATACTATGAGCCTTGCTCTAGCCTTTGTAGCTTCTATACCTCTATGACCAGCATGAAGGTCCACCAGTGTTTGTTTTCTAAGACTGGTAGGGATCAACAGTCTTACGCCATGCAGTATAAAACCATCATCTGACATCGACAGGTGTTCACGTACGTTCCAGTACTCACTGATCGAGGCATCCAAGTCTCGCTTCTGGTCAGGAAATCCATTAAGTATTGTTTCCTTCAGTGTTTGGTACATTATCACGATCAGAGGCTTCTCTGATCGACTGGAGGTGAATAGGAACATCTGCTTTCTCCATGCAGGCTGTGCGGATTGCTCGTACGGTACGGAGTGTCTCTCGCTCCTCCTCCAGGTCTGTTTCGTCTGGCTCTTTCGTCGGGTACCGCGAAAATGCATCGGCCATCAAGTTGGTTTTACCTTTGATGTATTCGACTTCCATGTCAAATTCATGTGCTTGCATTAGGCAACGTCGAAGCCTCGGGTTGGTGACTTCGTCTAGTCGTCGATTGTTCGTCATCGATACAAGGGGTTGGTGATCCGTGTACACTTTGAACCTAGGTAACCCAACAAGGAACATAGACGCCTTTCGTATGCCCACGAGAGTGCTTTCATCTCGGATTCGATTGGCATGTACGTCTTCTCGAGTTCAGTTAGTGTACGGCTGCCCACCATGATTGGTTTCCATTCCTGGTTACGTTGCTTCTGTTTCAGGACAAACCCAAAACCAGACTTGCATGCTGCATCGGTGTATAACTCGACGGGCTGACCAGGCAAGTAGTATGCAAGCCTACCAGGTTGTACTAGCATTTCTTTGACTTCGCGGAATGCCTGTTTTTCATCCTCTGACATCTCAAACTTTTTTTCAGATTTTTTGAGTAGGTGTCGCATGGGGCCAGTTTGCCTGCCAATTCTGGATCGTATGGCGACATTTGGTTGGCTAAACCATGAAAGGATCGCATGTCTGTTATGCTTCTAGACTCAGAAAATTCTCTGAGTAACTCTATCAGCGAAGGGCTGATGGTAAATCCATCCTTACTCACGATCACACCCGCAAACTCTATCTCTTGCTTCCTGAATACAAATTTATTTTCGTTCAGTCTAATGTTCCTCTCACGACATCGCTCCAGGAACGCTCGGACATGTATCAGGTGGTCTTCATCATTCTTCCCTTACACGAGGGAATCATCTACCACTCTTACGATGTTGTCTAGGCCATGAAGGATTCCGACATGCGGCGGTTGTAGTGCTCTGAAATACTGTTTATTCCAAACGGCGCCCTCTCATACCTAAAACGTCCAAATGGCGTTATGAACGTAGTCAAGTCCTTCTATTCCTCTTCTATTTCGAGTTGGTGGTACCCTTTCTGGGCATCAAAATTCGTGAACAGAGATGCTTCGTTGGCTTGAATGTTCTGAACTGTCTCAAGGACAGATGGTGACTCGTAGACCTCGCGCTTTGAGAACTTATTCAGTGGCTTGAAGTTTACACATAAGCGGATGTCGTCCGAGTTCTTCTTTTGCTCCACTACTATATGAAGCACCCAGTCTGTTGCTTTAGTCTGAGGTGTTATGATCCTAGCTTTCTGGAGGTGTTCTAGTTCTTTCTCTAATTTAGGCATCAGTGGATATGACACACCATAGGATCTGGTGGCTTTGAACGGCACCGCTTTTTCTTCCAGAACAATCTTGAATTTTTCCCCTTTCACAGGGTTTTCTAAGGGACCAAAGACATCAGCAAACTCATCTATCAAGTCCTGTCGAGTTACCTGGCTTGCTGGTTTCTGGACCTGGCATGTGTCTCACCTAGCCTTCAGGAGATGCTTCGGCTTTACCGGTATCGGTGGTTTGTTAGACTTACTGGCTGTGGATATCATAGCTTGTTCAGGCACCTGGACATTGTCAGGTTTCCGAGTTGTCTCAGTAGGTGGGTCTAGATTGAGCCTGACTATGTTTAGCTCGATTAGGGCATCCTTAGATAGGATTGTGCCACTAAGTCCCGGGAAGACAACAATACGTCGGGTGATAACGTTGCACCCAAAGGCAATGTCGGCTTGGAAATATCCACTTGGTTTCATTCGTACTCCACTAGCATTTACCGTAGCTTGCATGTCTGCAGTTGGTGGACATAGGTTGTGAGGGTCTTCTTTCACCGACACAAGTTCGCTTTCTGCAATGCAACACCTTTACTTGGCTGTGGCCATTTTGTCCATGAATGGTGACTTTAACTAAGTCAACATTAGTGCTAATGGAGCAAATGATGCTTCCCATTAACGTCTTCTTTGGCTTTTCATGGTATGATGCTGGCTTCTTGCCAGAGTTTCTGCACACTTTTGCAAAATGGTTTGATTTACCACATGATTTGCATTTCTCCCCTTTTGCTGGGCAAGTGGCTCTGTCTCGGTGTTTCGGGTAACCACACTAGTTACACATCTCAGTTTCTTTTTCTCTATCATTCCGAGAGTAGTCTGGACTGTGCAGCTCTTCTGCTTCTGAACCGCCTCGGTTTATTTGGGTTCCTTTCCATTTCTCTGTGGATTCGGTTCACCCCAGAACTAGCAGAATATGTGAGCTGGGCCTCTGGCTCTGTGACATTTTCGTCTGCTTCCAGAATCTTTCGTGCCTTTTCTACAGAAAGGTCAGGATTTCTCAGCATCTCTCGTCTTGCAGCTTCCTTTTCGGTGCAGAACACAAGTTTAGACAGAATGTGGTCGTCAATGGCTGCTTGTGCACATTGATTACAGAAGCCTTTATCAAAGTTGCATTCTTTTACCTTTTTCACCACTTCACTATGGAATTTTGCAATCGACTGGTGAGGCTTTTGATGCAAGTGATGAAATTGGTGTCGAGATGTCCACACAGATTTTGTTGTCTCGATTAGGCTTGAAGTAATAGCCACAACTTCTTTAATGTCTTGTCGCGCTTGGCTGCAGGGAGCTGTAGTCGAAGAGCATCTACACGGTTGAATGTAGATGGCTTCATGGCGGACTCGATGGCGATTTGCTGAGTTTCCCAATCAAACTGTGAGTTCGGCTTCCTTGGCGAAAGCAAGAAAGGCGCTTGGGATCAACACCTCCTTTCGGCAATGCTTCTCTAGTATCCCGTCTCATCTGGACTGTCGCCTGCGTTTGCTGTGCCTGTTGGGTGATAATTGCAGCTAGCATCTGCAGTAGGTCGTTCTGCTGTGGCACTGAATGTGGCTGTTCGCCAGTAGCACTATCAGCACTCATGTCCATCTGCATTCTTTCTTGAGCGTCTTCTCGAGCTGCCATCGTGTGAACTATAACAATGCACGTACAGTACGTTTTGCCGCCTTTATTCCACGTGGTACGGGTAACACAGTTCCATCACCCGGTCTCCGTTCACTCAAGCTTGCTGATTCGAAGATTATATCAAATCTCCTCTGCCTTGCAGCGCCATGTTATATATCTCGTGTTCTTGAGATATTAGGAATACAGATGCCAACGACTGTCTTGCATGTTACATAATATATTGTACATATAAACTTGAATCACACAGACGCAGTTACAACAGCGTGTACTGTCTAGAGTCCCGCCATATAAGTCTCTATCCTCGACTAGTAGCGCCACCTCTTGGGCGTACAAAGAATAAACATTACTCTAACGTTTTGCAATTATTTTACATCTGGTTTAGTCCGTGGCCGTGGTTACACCGCTGACACCTCCGTTTCATCTGGCGTCCAAAACATACGGGCCGCACAAATGTTTACGTTATCGCTCGACTCCTGGATGACATTTACGGCATGTAAATGAATATCACCAGCCGATTTCAAGTCTTGTTTGTAATGTAAACCAGTAGTGATATTGGACAAACTAATACGCGTTTGGCTATAAGGTAATGTACTTATTAACTACACAAGGTGCCAGTTACTCTAGCATTCGTCAACATTGCATAATCAATGGACCTATTATTCCTTTAAAACACATGCACTTGCCCGATTATTCTTGCGCAATATTCTGGTCTTGCAGAGGAATTCCTGAGCGACAATAGCAGCCAAGACAGCAGTTTTCTCCAACCAACGACACCCAAAAAGAAGCAACGATTCTTCTGGCAGTACAATTTGCAGGCGAAAGGAGCCAAGGGAGAAAAGCTACGTGTCATATCGCAGCCTGAAGATCCCCATCATCTGGATGCTGCCACAGACCCCGTCTTTAGCCCGTCAATTCACATAAAGTATGTGAACAAAGACTATTCTAAGGGGGAACGGTGAGTTGTAACTTGAAAGGCTGCATCGAATTTGTATCGAAGCTGTCCATCGTATGTAAACAAATTGGCTTGGATTACTCAATCAGTAAGCATGCTAACTAGAACACATGCAGCCTTGAGTGAACAGACAACGGGAAATGGAACTGGAAGCAGTAAATTGCACATGCGATTTTGAATAACAGTCGCACTTATTTTGCTGATAATTATCCTAATTATACTGCTAATGTTCTAAGGGGTTACACCAATGTAATGTGCACAATGTAACAATGTAATGTGCACAGAGGTTTACAACAATGGATGTGTTGCACGTATATGACTGGGAACCCAGGACTCGTGAGTTGCTCCCTCATTTCTTTCTAGTGGCATAAAACACAGCGGCAAGGCACGGCGCGGCGACGGCAATGACTTGACGCCGAACCCGAAGAAGTTGTACGCGATTGGACGAGAACTGAGCAAGTTGGGGAAGCTCATCAACGACATGACGCCGGTCAGCGAGGTGCCGTTTAATTCTCGGCCGAGATCTCGACGCGAGAAGAATAAACTGGCGTCGCGCGCCTGCCGACTGAAAAAGAAGGCGCACCACGAGGCAAACAAGCTGAAACTTTTCGGGCTGGCACGAGAGCACGGTGAGAACTGTTGTCGTCCTTTCACACACTAGACTTGCCTTTAGAATCTGTGTACTCTTTAATTAGTGCATGTATTATGCCATTCATCATTATCTCATTTCCTATGGAAGACCTAAAGGAGTAGAGGAAGCCATTTAAGGTGCTGGAACATCATGGTGTGAAAACGCAATAACCACCGATAGTACATTTCTGTCATATTACATTTGTAGCTGATTATGTTGTCTGTATTGACAATGGGAATGTCTCAACTTTGAATCGCATGAGGCTGTACCTCTATTAGTTTGCTTATTAAAGCCCAGGGGCGGATTCAGACCGTATTTGCCGTATTGGGAAATATGGTCTAGATTTCAAAGTGCCCTTCGAAATTTTGCGCTAAAAAATACAGAAAACAATTTGATGGAATTTGGCTATATTCTTTATTTGTTTTATTTTTCTTCTAATTAATTGACAGGACTTAAAGGAAATCAAAATTTTACATGGTAACAAAACTAGCTTTGATATCTGAAAAAGAAGGGAAGTGCTTGAATCATTCTACATTAATTGCTGGTATGCAAAGCGCAGGCAAAGTGAAGCAGAAATAAAATTCCATATGGTTTTTAGCTATTGCTGCTTGACTAAATGTGTGCTCAAATGGTGCTCATTTTTGTGCCAAGGGACCCTTGAAATTTTAAAATTTTCTTGGGGGAGGCCCCCCTAGACCCCCCGCCATGTTCTTCCGCGCCTGACGGTGCCCAATGTGGGGTGGTGTGCCTTTTTGGGGGGATGTGTCCTTAAAATCTGGAAAAATACTGTCTAGCTTCAGCCCTGGATCCGCCCCTGAAGCTCGCCGCACACGCTGTGGAACTTGCTGCACCACGTGGACGATGGCACAGCAAGTTCCACAGCGTGTGCGCATGCAAAATCCCTCGATCTGCGTCGTGTGGAAAATATCACACGTGTTGAAGATTGAACAGCGTGTGTGAGTGGCTGTGTAAATTTCCACACTCAATTCGCATAAAGTGTTCGCTTGATTGTTCGCTTGGACGCATTGTATTTTTTTCTCAGCTCGCAGCTCGCATAAAGGCATGTCCAAGAACTAGCTGATCAATCAAACCATAAACGTCGTGTGATCGCTCTCTTCAACGACACTCCGTGTCCAAGCGAACAATCAAGAACAATGCGAATTGAGTGTGGAACTTTACACAGCCACTCCGCACACACTGTTCAATCTTGTGAATCTTTCGATCAAAACCCGTGTGACATTTTCCACACGACGCAGATCGAGGGATTTTGCATACGCACACGCTGTGGAACTTGCTGCGCCATCGTCCACGTGCGCAGCGTGTGCAGCGGGCTTTAGTGCGCAGTTTTGAAATATATACTTGCGCCTATATATGGTCGCTTGCCGATTTCGGTACTTTGTCATTTATTTAATGGAATTTGATAGGTCCGGATTCGATTTGATGGTTGATTTGTCAGAAATTATGCAACAATAATATAACCCTAACGTGTTTGTCTACTCTACGTCGTTAGATTATGTGATCGATGCAATCAGGACGCGCTATTTATACATATTCCGGTATATATTATTACTAGTGCTTCCTTCGTATCAAGCAGTCAACAGGATATTAATAAATATCAGCCTGTGCCTTATCGTATTTTGAGTGCGACGTAGAGTCTGTGATGCTGGCGCAGTGTATGTTGTGCAGTGCAGTGCCTTGTATTCTTGGTCGGACGGTATAATAACTATAGTTGACATGCTGGAAATGCTACGTATCAATCCATCCATCCATCCATCCATCCATTTATCTATTTACATGTCTGCCTGCCTTCCTACCAAGTTACCAACCCATCTATATGTGCATGCAGCCATGCACCCACACACAAATTATATCTAGCTATTTACTAGCTTCAGTATGTGAGTGGTTGATGATCAGGAATTTGGGACTTTCCTAATATTTACCCTGATTTTTTCAAAATAAAATTTCAGAGGCCCTGCTTAAATTGATGGATACGGTGCGGAGTGAGCTGGCGACGAGATACAAGAGTCCCAATGTGAAACGTGAAGAGACCGCCACCCAGTTTCTGGACAGATTAATCAAAGGACAAGGCGGTAGGTTTCTTCAATGTTAACATCACGTTCTTGCTCCTGTCATGTTCAAACTTGGGAGGGGTCCCGGGGGGGGGGGGGTCACTATATATGCCGTTATTACCCCATGTGCGTTCCAAATTTTGTGAGTTAGGGGGGTGTTTTTCAACTTCTAAAGCGGGCCCGCGCGGGAGCAAATAGGCCCCCCTTGACAAAGCTAATACCGCAATAAGCCCTCGGGATTGTTCAAGTCAAGCACCGCGCCCGCAGTAGGCCCGGCCCCCCTCATGACGAACCACATAGTACCCCGCCCCAGGCCCCGAACGGGCGGCCCCGTAGCACACGAAACTTAAACCCTACAACAATCATCACGAGGAGCAAAATGAGCGTGAAAAAAGAGAACCCCAGTAGGACTCTTTCATTGTATGCAATAGGGGGTGGTATTCTTCAATTGTGTCTGCAATAGGTGGTAGGGTTTTCCAATGTGCAGTTCGCACTAGGGGTCCTATTATTTTTAGTGAGAATGCACATGGGGTAATGTTCTAATAGAGTGCCCCCCCCGGGGGAGGGGGAAAGTAATTGGAGAACCTCGAACGTGGTGAATATTAGCGCGTGTGCTTTGTGAGTGTTGCAAACCGTATTATTAGGTGGGTGCTTACATATTGGCAATCAATGATGTTTTGATCAACTTGCATTTCAGAAGCTGTAAAGGTGGGAGATTCGACCGAATTCATTACAGAAATACTACAGAATGTCGAGAAGGGAAATGCGACAGGAGGGCTGAAATACTAATGACGAAATGGTCGTAATAGCAAATGAAATCTGTTGCTACATCTGATCAGATCAAACTCATCATCGCTGATGAGTTCTGTGTGTGTGTGCGTGCGTGCGTGCGTGCGTGCGTGCGTTTGCGTGTGTGTGTGTTTGTGTTTGTGTGTATGTGTGTGAAAGTGCCTTTGTACAACAACAAACGTGCAGGCACCGATTCTGTCATCTTTTTTAGTCACAGAAACCATTAGTTCCATCGAGTCTAAAGTTATCTGTTAAATTAGTAGTGTGTGGTTTGGTGATTATTTTCATTAATTTCAAAACAAATAAGCATCTCTGCATTCCCGCATTATATATATATATATACACGCACATATATATATGTGTGTATATATATCTATATATCTATATATATATACTTCATCTTTGATGCAGAGTGTCTTTCTAATGTAAATACAGGGTCGGCGGAAGCAAATAAACATTGGTCAGGCCATTTAGCATCAATAACAGACGTCGACAAACAGCTGGCTGAAGGCCAGGTGCGCATGGCGCAGCCGTGGCGGAGGAGCTCTAGGGGGGGGGGGTTCCCCTCGTCAAAGGGGGGTTTCGGGGTCCTCCCCCAAGAAATTTTAAACATTTAAGACACCAGGATGCCTTTTTAGAGCTTAAAAATACTTTTCAAAACTCTAACAAATATATATTTATACTTCAGTATAGGCCTAATTATTTCGGCATCTGCCAATTTGCATGTCAAATTTTTGTTCTTTAAAGTATCTTCATGTAACCTGATAATTATTAACGAGAGTTAAATATATGAAACGAACTATATGGAATTATGAAACTGGACCAAATATTCCTGTGTGATGATCGTGATTTTTTATAAACCTATCGACTGCTTTCTGCAAGTCCAAACTGTCCAATTTCGCTTTGTGCACGTTAAGCAGCATCACGTTATTTAGACGCAGTTGCGTCATTGTAGAGCGCAGATATGTTTTTAGTCGTCGCAATGCAGAAAACGATCGTTCGCTTATATTAAACTAATTATATTGAATAATTATATAATAATAATTATTAATAATAATTATATTGAACGAACATAAACAATGGCGCTCACAATGGCCGAGCAGCAGACGATCGTTTCTGGTACAGTATCAGCAATTAAAGAGATCAACACATGTCTTCTTATAAACATTCTTCAGTTTATTACCGGTACTATATAGTCATGTAGTAGTATATATGCGTGTATACATAAACTATATGTGATTACAGATCATTATATGCTCAGGATTGCAATAATTGTAGATCCGGCCTGTGCATAATGAAAATGTGTGATTGAAAAAAATCATGATCGGAAAAATTATTGGTTCGGCCATGGAATATTGGCTCCGCCGGCCCTGAAACACAGGAACTGAGGATTTTGAACTGTTGTTAGTTGAAGGTTTGTCTGGTGCTGATTTGTATTTGTAACCATGCCCCCATATTATATTGGTCAGAAAACATGCTGGTCCTGTTTAAAAAATATATATTTGTATACATCTTAATAAGCTACACTTCATATAGCTATGGTTGTGCATCTGCTGATTATATTGTGTATTTTACTAGTTCGTACATTTATATATTAAGAAATGTCAGTGTGTATTTGCATGATCTCCTAACGTACTATGCTGTTGTAACACATGTGTAATGTCCAGTGCTACCAGTGATATATATACCAATAGACTACAGATATTGGTGACTTTCTAATAATTATTGCTGTTATCAAGTTTGCATTTTGTACAACTATAGGCAGGGTACATTTGGAGATAACAGAAAGTGTTTTTCATGCATTCCATGTGCTTATAAAATTCAAGTACTGAACATGCTCTTTAATGAATGCATATGATGTTCTGTTATAGTAGGTTGGAAGCTTGCTGCTTGTTGTACGTTTCCTTACAGATATGTTGGAGTCACGCAGATATTTTAAAATTTAAGTAGTGGTTTCCCCCTACAGTTTATTAAGCAAAGACGTGTAAATATGGGACAGGTGTTATTTATTAGAGGAATAGTCTGGTGTTATATATCAGTCGTTGTAACAAAAATGTTATTGTAAATAGTGAAGATGAATATAACTTGCTTGAATTGCAGCATATTATTTTTCAAATGCTTAGAATAGACGACGGCAATCACCGTATATTATTATTATTTGTTGTTACACCAGACGTATTGTGTTATATTCTGTGTACATACATATATACTGAATTATCGGATCTTTTGCTGAGTAAGTGCGAGTGTAAGAGAAGGTGGTGGAGAAAATGGAGAGGTGGGGATCTCGAGGGAGAAAGAGAGAGAGAGAGAGAGAGCGAAGTGAAGATTTCATTGAGATATTGACAGTCGAGGAGAGAAATAACCCGATTATTGCATTTTATAATTCTAGTCCAGGTTGAGGGTTCTTGTCTCCATCTTATATTGCACAATGTGTGGATGACCAGGTTTGGCACTGCAATCTTATCAGACAAATGCTGCCGCTTATGACACACGTGAATATGTAGTTTTGTATGGTGATGTACCTATTATCAACAGCAACGTATACTTATCTCTACCAATTCTAATAATGAGATTTGTGTTTGCCACCCAATGGGGGTAGGAAAATTCATTCCAGAAAGCCAGAATGTAGGCTGTGGTGTGATATGATATTATACTAGTAGTGCGTGTATACAGTACTACTGAAGCAAAACAGGGCTGGTCCTTTGGAAAGCTGTGATGAAATAATTGAGTAGATTAGCCATTTGCTGGGCAGACCAATCACTTTTCTAGCTGCCAAGTTGAGGAATGGAAAGATTCATTTTATCACCGTGCCAAACTTACTGTGAGGGGGGATGGGACAGTTCTTAATAGGTGTTCTTGACAAGTTACGAGCATACATGCAGCTGTGATGCGCAGAATGCTTACATGTTTTTTGTGTGACCGAACCATTGTTGTTGTCGTGCAGGATTGGCATTGATTACATTGCTCTGGCCTTCCGCATGCGCTTGCCATGTACCAACGACATTATTCTAGGCACAAGCATTTAGCTTCGTTCTGGGCGAATTTTAATCACCTAGAAACGTATACATATGCACTACCTGTGTGAACATGGGTTTAGAGGCTAACGTAAGTTATATAATTTGCTTTGTATAGTGAATACTGGTTGTATATACGTAGTATATATAGTTGCATATAGAGATGCGTGTTAAGCATGCGTGCGTGCATGCAGACGTAGGTGCATGGCATGCATGCCTTCTCACAAAGCACCATTTTCTTGTAGTGTTATGCAATTTGTAAATAGAAATGCCCATATGTATATGCACGTGTCGCATCTTGACAGAAAAATTTCCACTACTATGCAGGTATATTTCTTGAAATGGTTTTTTGTTAGAATTCTGTCTCGGGTTGTTACAGCAACATTTCAATGTTGTTTGCTCATTGACGTTTATGCATAGAACCATTAAAAAAGTGCTGTTTGGAGAAAAACGGAGTATAAACGTCACATTTATGCAGTGGCTCTTTTGTGAGTAGCCACTCCAGCCCTGAACGTGAATCTTGAATATTGACCTATTCGCTAAATCGAGAATAAAGTGTTAATCATCATGAAGGACACCCAGTCTATAGGAAGCATGATGTATCTTAGAAAGGTCAAATATGCCAACACTTTCCAATGGACAGCACAGGTCGCTACAGCTTCTAGAGTTTAGAGTTGTTGCCATATTGGAATAAGGCTATATGATCTCAGTAGGTGATGATACCGGTGGCCAAACACTTCACAGAGGGAAGCATCTGGCAGTTCAGTGGCAAATCTTGTCGTGATGGAGTATTGGTAGAGACAGAGTATTCGACATGACAGCGGTAATTTTACGCTGTTGGCTTGATCGTGTTATTAATCTCACGTACTTAAAATGAAATAGATTAGAGTTGCTCAAGTGTATCTTTCATCTGCTGCAAAGTCGATACGATGAAGGTCTAATGGCTCGTAGCAATACGGATAGGAACGTTCAGCATTAGTGTCTGAAGATGAGTTTTGCTGATTCTACCCAAATATATACAACACTGGATTGTTAACCTTTTTGTAAATAACATCTTCAAAGATGGCCCTCTGCAGTGACTAATTTACTTTTATATATTACAGTTGTTGTTGGGCGATAGATACAGGCCATGTTGTGAATTTACTCTATAGCTGTGATCAACACATCATGTTACAGAATAATTAATACTTGGAATCTTTAAAATCTGTAGGAAAAATATTTTTTCTGTTAATATTGCCAGTTAGTCTTTGTACAGCAATTCTATTTCGTTTGTATTTTGTTATTTAGTTTGTTAATGTATAAAGCAGGGGCGTGTACAGGGGGGGGGGTCCAGGGGGTCCGGACCCCCCCCCCTGCTCGCGCAGAAAACGCATCTAAGGGGGTCTAATTTCAAAAATTTTCGGGGAGAGCCCCCCAGACCCCCCTTCGCGTGCTCGCAAGTTTGGGTTACGGTTAGACCCCCCCTGGTACAAATCCTGTACACGCCCCTGTAAAGGTAATATTTCAGTTGTTATTTTGATCATTATGTATGACTGTATAAATGGAATCATATGAGTTTGTGACTAATATAGCTAATGGTTTAAAATGATAAAGATGTCCGTCAACATACTAAAGGTCCCCTTCCCCTATCGCGAGTCAATATAGAGCTGAAGGTGTTAACATAATAGTAAAACTGTTCACCAACAGTAAGTTTAGACACGAAAAGAATATAGTTATCAAGAGTGCATAATAGAGATGCTCTATTATGCACTCTTGTAGTTATCTAGCCTACAGACATCAAAATTGTATTGCACTATGTGTATTCAGTAAAATATCAAGAACCTTCATGTTTACTTAGCTATCATCTGCACTGCTTTATATTTGTTTGGCAGTGTAACGTTCACGAAACGTCAGTGTAACGTCAAAGAAATTGCATAAACTAGAGCTAGTGTATATGTAAATATACACTTTGTTTATCATTTACAACTGGCTGATCGAAAATTATGATGGAACTGACTGTATTGCCGTCGTCTGTACACAGTAATACACACTGACTATAATTATATGTTAAAAAACAGTATTGTAATCTTGAGGTTTAAGTAATGATGCCCGTATGTATTCATGGTCATTCTGTGATGAAAAGTGAGGTGTTAATTGGTTACGATTGAATCCAATGCCTCGTCAATGTAATACACCCAGATATATTGCTCTATTTGTTTACTAAGATTGTTATTCCACCATCTGAAATGATAGATTATACAGTGAATTGTTGTATAGCCGAGGTCAAGAGCATCTCGATATGGATAGTGGTAACGTTTACAGTTGCACCTGTTCAGGGCCTGAGAGTCCAAGATGCACTCAAGCAGGCTTGGCCCAGGTTTGGTACAGAACACGAGAGTAAAAATGGCTGTTGCTGGAGTTTGTGAAAGGTGTAGACTATTATGAATCATCAAATTGCTCACGTTTTGAATTTGGGAAATCTTGGCATGAGCTACAATTCTTTATTTTTGAGAGGTACAGATAAGTGAAGAGTGATTGCATCACACTGATACTTTCAAACTGGTTTCTGTTACGTGAAGACGATTTTGTTTAAATATCGTTCTAATACGAACATTATTGCCTTTGTATTGTACTGAAGTCGAAGCACTTTTGCTCTTTAGACATTCCATTCTCAGCTTTATGTGGAATACATATGACCTTATTGTATTTATAAGAAAGGGTGTTTGTCAATAACATGCAGTTCGTGAAAATTTCATGACAACCGAGAGCACTGTTGTTGTTCTAATTAACCTCCTGGCAACAGCTAAGGCGACATGGATGTATATTTCTCATGTGTATTGCAAACGTAAGTGCGGGTATGGCGTTCTGTACAGCAGAAATGTAAGGATCTGATCTCAGGACATGCAACTGAAACCGGATTGTTTTAAACCTCACTTTAATAAAACTAACAAAATCCCAATACAGTGCGTTATCTTGTTTTATCCTCTCTAGTTCAAACAATATATATTAAAAATATTATAGTATACTTATCACTCTCGTCAAGATTATTTAATCACATCAGTTATGAATATTTGTAGTTGTACAATGTATTCTTTCTGGAATGACCAGAAAGAAACGATCAAATCATTCTAGTCGTGGTCTCTGATGTCGCATCTATTAACATGCACGACCACCACTAATACAATGTAGTGTTGGTCCAGCCAAACCTCGTTCATTATAAACTCATTTTATATTTTAAACAGTTTATACAAAGGACACTAGCATACACTCATCAACAAACATTTCTGGTACATACCACCTGCAACGGAAGTGAAATATGAGTGAAACTGCCATTTCACAGTTTGCAGGCACCATTCATCAGATGGCAGCACTGTACACTGACCAAATACATGCTGGAAATGTGGGCAGCCTAATTCCACGGGTGATACGCCATTAGGAGTGTTCCCAACTTTAATGTCATTAACGGTCATAATAACATATATATGGTCATGGTCATATATTAGTTTGTGGTTTAATGTCATTAATCATTAATCATTAATGATATCAAAGTTGGGAAACACTCCTAATGGAGTGTTAGCCCTTTCCACCGCATGCACAATAGCCATCAATGCATTCAACAAGATGTGCTCCTGGTTACTTCTGGCTCTCAAATGAAGCTGAACACTCTCTTTCTCAAGATGTACAGTACTGTTACGATGAACAAAATGACTGCAAGGCAGATGAGAAGTTTGTCCGTCAATTCTCGACGGCCATATTTTGTCAATATGTTCTTGGACGTGTGTAGGTCTCCAGATTGGTTCTTGAATTCCTCGTATGTCTCCGATACGACAGATGAGGAGGTTACTGCGAAACAAAAATAAAAATAATTTTATCAAATAAAATGTAATGACACGACGGAGTAACATAAAAGATAGATGTGATTAGTTTAGATACATGCATATCACAAGATATATGGTACATATAATGTAAAACTACTTGTTGGGTATAACACAATCAATCTTTTTGAAATCCCGATGATTTAGATGGCACTAGGACCAGTAAAAGTAGGATAAACCCAAGGGATCAACTGTACGCCACCATTTGTACCGCATTGTAATCAATGTCCATGTTCTTAGGGTTGGTCATACTTTTAAAGCTTAAGCCTGGCGCACACGTGAGTTATTTTACTCAAGTAAAATGACGCACGAGTCAAATTACTCAACGAAAATCCGCCGCACACGTCAGTAAAATGACTCATGCGTCATTTTACTTGAGTAAAATAACTCACGTGTGCGCCGGGCATTAGACTTTACATAACTTATAGACCATATTTTGTTATTATTGGTTTCTTACCTAATGCTTTTATAGACTCGTCACTTTGGTTTACCTCTGTAGCCATCATCCTGCTTATTCTTTGCAGGTTGTCGGTGATATTTCTTGTTTCATTCCCCATAGCCTCCTTTGCAGAGCGTTTTCTGAAGCAATTTTTTAGCAAGAGTACCACTTATAGACTGGGCTTATTAATGCTACTTACAAAACCTTTATTGTTTATCATCAATATTTATAAGACACAACTGAACTTTTATTTAATCACTGGTGATTTCTATGAAAAACATAACGTGGCAATCAACAAAACAAGTACTACAAAATTTTGTGACACAGTGATGGACCGTGCTCCTAAATATGAACTGATTTTACCTTTTTAACAGGTCATCAGGGTCGGTCATAGGGTTAACATGGTCAACCCTAGCCGATGATTTCATACCTATTTCTGGTGTCTGGCCAAACCGATCCTTCATCGAATAAATTTCCCCTTCCTTGTCTCTCTATTGCCAACTGACATGACAGATTTGCCTTCCTTAGTGATGCCAACGTCCTGCAAAAGTTAACACGGAAGATTAAAAACAGCTTTAATAAAAGTGTCAATGACACTGTAGCTCACCTTGGGTGTGATAGAAGAGGGAGGGGGGATATATAAAGCAAGAGTATATATGGGAGAACTCCCATTTATTATATAGCACATCTCCCATTATATACTCTTGATAATGGTATATATGCATAAGTTTTGATGCGAAAATAAATATTTCAGATCTGAAAGTCTGAAATCTTGACGAGAGATGGTGCTATGCCTAAATGATCATCATTTTGGTTTTCGAATATCGTGCAAATAAAAACAATAAAATAATCCAGTCAAATTACTGTAACGAAGAATCTAAAACATAATATAACACGTATATAGGTATGATTGTAGAGTTGTTGACCAGTTAGACAAAATAAACGTAATAGGACGTTGTCATCTATGATCTCTCCCATAGGAGTAACAACTGTTTTGGGGCTAGCATTACAGTTACACATTCATATACCAGAATTTAACAAAATCGAATGAATTTAGATGGCCATTTTCATTTTTGCCAAAAAGTGGGCGTGGCTCGAAAGTAGGTCGACTGGTGTGCTCCAAAATAGGAAAGTTCAAATCTCTTCCATAGGAGTAACAACTGTATTCAATTTGAAACATGTGGGTCAACGGTTCTTGAGTATCGTTGACCGTAGGCAGACACTGAAATGCATAGTGAAATTGCCAAAATCTACCTAATTTAAAAAATAAATCAAAACCTGTGTGATATGTTTTGGGGCCAGTCCTTATTCAATCACATACTAGAAATGAGCAAAACCATTGAACCTGAATGACTTGTGGCCATTTCCATTTTTGCCAAAAAGTGGACGTACGTGGCTCGAATGTAGGTCAACTGGCGTATTCCACTTGAAAACTATATGTAATTTGAAACATTGGGTCAACAGGTTCTTGAGTTATCGTTGACCGTAGCCAAATGTTGACGGACGGACGTACGACGGACGACACCCCATGGCAATAGCTCATCTTGACGATGTCAAGGTGAGCTAAAAACGGCCATGGGGCCTAACCTAGCCTGCTTAATATGGGCACCCATGGCGAGCGTAGCGAGCATAAAAAAAACATATATATACTTATCTATCACATTAAATTGGGCAGTTGGTCAACACATTTTATTCAGATAATAGATTATAGATCTTATATGCAGGGCTTTCATTTTTAAGGGCGCGCTGATCGCGCGCTCGCGCCTCCACGCGCACCCCAAAAATTGTGCCATGGTCGCGCGCATCATTGCGCCTCATAAAAGTGGTTGAAATCGCGCACCAAAAGTATGTCTATTATGTTGAAATAGCGCCTCCATAGAGTTCTCAATGAGGGGGGTACAAAAAGGTTAGCAACACACAACAATTGTGGTGTGTTAAGTAAGCTGAACGTTATGGCAGAGTACAGGTTCTGGTTACGTACCCTCTGGTTTATTATTTTATATATAAATACAACTAAACAACAGCATCCAAATACGGTACCTATACGGTAGCACAAGTTACCTGCTCGTTTTCTACTATACGTGGCCGAGAAGTGGTTTTCTGCCGACGTGAAACAAGTCGTAGGGCTGGAGGGGCTACATACGTGTCTACTACGTGCAAGTAATTTGGCTGTTTGTTGATGGATTGTGATGATATTTTGTGCTGAATATGCAGGTACATGGATTAGAATCTCTAAGGATGGAAATCAGAATAAATAAAACAGTTTATTTTTACATCGCGATCAACTCTTTTATAATCTGTGTGCATAGTCGTTGTGTTGTTTGGATTGAAAAGAATGTAATCCTGACGAAAGCATTGATTGAATGAAGTGAAGATGAATGATAATCAGTTAGATTGACATGACATCCCTCAATTTTCGTTTTAGCATTTCACTCTTAGACTGACAGATTCGTCATAGATATCCATCATCACACCCCAAGAGGCATGATGGAGAGCCCTCAAGGAGACCTTCACTCATCCCTTTTAAATGTGTGGATTTGTGTAGTGGAGCTCTCATCTATGCCTGCTTAAGGCGTTAGATTTTTTAATGAAAAATGGCCTGGATTAAGCCCTGGGCCATATCGGACAGACAAATTTTCTGAGTAGTCGACATTTAGTCATCGATGCTACGAAAGCTTCTCACCCATCAAGCTGTTTTCCATACATCTCCGCATCCTTCAATATCGCCAATAGTATCCGTTTCCTTGTCTTGTTCTCGTGCGAGTTTAACCTAGTTCCTTAAAATTTAGGTAAGCACATCTTACAAGTAAATCTACCCTTGAATAAAATTTATGGGAAAAAACTATTATATAAGAAAAAATGGCTCCAATAATGGTTAATCAATTCTACTACAATTTACTGCATGTTAGTCAAGAATATTGTACATATATACCAAATTTATATTTAATAATACCCTACACAATCCAATGTTGACAACATGCTTTAAAAAATGCTACTAGGACTCTTTTATTCCTTAAATATTCAGTTCCAAATTATTCTTGGGAATGTCAGTGTAATGCTTCAGGTATCACCGTTTGCCATTTAATATTCGTAATGACAATCGTAAGCAATAAATACTCACAGTGATATTAGTCCGCAGATCTTGAATTAGGCCCCTCACTTGGAGATTCAATTCATTCAAAGTCTTCAATGCGCCCAACGCATTCTCGTATATCCTTCAGTTGAACAGTATTCAGTTTAATAACGACAAGTGCCGCCAGAATAACAGATTTACTCATTTTCCAAGAAGATTATTAATTACCACTGCCTCCACCATCATCAGCCACAATGAATTTCAATCATGTATCATACAAATAATACTATATGTAGAACACAATGTTCTTGTACCCTTATTGAATTTGGATGCCAGCCGAAGAATTTACATTATGTGTATAGGCGAGCTGGTGTGAGATAAATGGCCTCGTCTGTGGAGCTTAGTGATTTTTTGTAATGTAATGATGACATCAGGGTTTCTCCCCAGGATGAATTGAAACAGGGGGGGGGGGGGAACTAGTTCGCGTGGCATGTTTCATGAAACAGAGTATCCGCATGACGTCAGAGTACATCAGTGTGACGTCAGTAGCTAATCTACACCATAGATAGTGGTTTGGTACTATAACACGTGTATATAAGATAAACCGAGTCGGTTTATGTTTAGTGTTAGGGTTAGGTTAGGGGTTTTTGCCATCATTCCTTGATATACGAAAAGTCTGAATGCGGAAGTTGATATGGCGTAGTATGGAATATGACCATGCGCAACACCAGCACCATCAGCAGGCTGTATGCATTCAACTTCGGAGATAGCCGAGTTCGTGCTGTGAGTGCATGCAAGTGTGCTACGTCACGCGGGATACTCTGGTTCATGGAAACATATGCCAACCTCGATTTCCCGCGCTGTCAAACTTTTATATGTGGTGAATTTATCGGGGCGGGAGGTAATTTTAACGGGGCGCAACGATTGAAACAGGGGAGTTTCCCCAAATGGGGCGAGCGCGCCCGGTTTGCGCAACGTAAGGAGGGGCCTGGACATCTCATAAGCTAAGAAGGCTGTAACTATTTTCGAGTACTAGGGTTACAAAAATATCTACCTTTACTTTTACTTTTTGCATTTATCTTTTAGTATGCAACCTGAAGTAAAAGTTAGGCTATAGGCGTTTGACCGGCCGTGTGTAAATTACACAGAAAGTAGATTGTGACAAAAGTGGTAAATTTCACTGATAAAATTTAGGCCAATTTCCAAACAAGCCTTGAACAACCGTTCATGCTGGCCATGAATCGTGTTCTCATGTGTTGTTTCAGCTAGCATCACTATGCTATTGCCACTGAATCTATGCCAATGTGGTTTCACATGCGTTTGAGCGGCAAGTTGTATAGCATTTGTTGGGTAGCGAAGGTCTTGGCATGTTTATGTTCATGATGTTATAATAAAACAAACGTGATAAGAGGAGATACTGCATGACAGTGTTTTGTTAATGTAGGTAAGATGTTAATAAGCCGACGGCTTTAGGTATTTTTCTTTGATTTTCGATTCACGCAACTTCGCTACACACAAAACTGCCCAATCTTGCATTAAAACCGTCACAACGCATTTCTCACCGGGCCAATGAAATAATCCATTGGCTGTGCCTGTCGCGTTGCGGTTCATGCAAGATTGGTTTTGTGTGTGTACGCGAAGTTTGCTGTATTTTTATGTCGTAATGCTTTAATAAAATAAAATCGTGATTAAGAGGAGAATACTGCATGACAAGTGTTTTGTAATGTAGGTAAGATGCTAATAATAGCTACAGCTTTAGGTATTTCTTTTGATGATTCAATGTAACACGACACGTAAAATAGTGAAAATGTTGTGGTGCATTTGCACGACAAATTCACAGGTTTTGGTATGGAAGCTTTTGGCCTAAATAACATCAGTATTACCTTTTTGTTGCCAAGGATTTAGAGAAATCGGTCCAATTAAAATCCAATGTAATTGTACATCAATATAAATATAAACTATTAATTTTATCAATATAAATAGGTATGCGGTTCATGCCTATGGTTAGGTTAGGGGCCGTTAGGATTAGGGTTAGGAGTTAGGAGTTTAGGATTAGGCGTTAGGATTAGGGTTAGGGTTAGGTTAGAATTAGGGTTAGGGTGAGCGGTTACTAACCTAACCCTAACCCGGTTAGGCGATTGGTTTATTGGGACCCATGTTTCTTATCTTGGGCACATTTTTTTAGCGGCACAATTATTGGTTAAGCAGCCATTAATTATATCTATTTC